GGGGCTGGGTGTACTTTGACACAGAACTGAAGCCATGGGACGGGTTCAAAGGTTGACGCACACACTTGGCAATGACAATCGTTTGTTTTGCTGTCAATTGTTGCTGTCACTCCCGTCGCTGTCACTTCTGCTTTCGCTGTTGACTTTGGACACACAATTTAATAAAGGCTTAAAGTTGCTTGCCCTTGCAGCAAGCAGCAGGATGAGAACAATGAAATGAAAGGAAAATATATAGAACGGATAACGGGTGAGGAGCTCAAAACTTTTGCCATTTGCCAGGCCAAAAACTTTACCGTCAATCGTTGTTGCTGCTTTTGTTCCTTTTATTTTTATTTGTATTTTTGTTGTCGCAGGTGCTCTGTTCCGCCCACCAGTCGCCCGACTGCCACGCCCACATTGCGTGCAGCGAAACTCTTTGACATTGTCATAGTCTGTCCTTTTCTGCGGCGGAGTTTCATGTCCTTGCCAAGCGTGTCCTGCCCCAAAGACGCCCGAGTTTCGGTCCTTCGCTTCGCTTCGTTCCTTGGGGAGGGAAAGCTTTATTAAATTTTCGCTAGCTTATAATTCAAACTGTAAGCAGACAGCACAAATAAAAGGGAAATACGGGGCGTGGCCAAAGGGTCTGGGAACGGGGGTTTGTCTGTTGGCTAGTAGTTACCTTTGTCCTGGGTAATGCTTATTCCTTGGCGACATTGGCGCGCACAAAGAGAAAATATCTTGTGTATCAATAAAGGAGTTGCGGAAATAAAAAAAGATTTCATTTATACAAACCTAACCAACAACATTATTTGAGAAATGCTTAGCAGGTAACTTTTATAAGAAGTTTTAAGAGTTAACTTGAAGTAATAAAAAATATATTCTATTATATAAAACTCCATAAAAAGAAAGCTTGAATTCTTTGACGAATTCAAGATGCAAACAATTGAGGAACTATTTAGATTATAGTTTTTGCTTTTTAATGCCAAACAATCGATCAGAAAAACGGATTTCCAAAAATAATTACTTTTTTGCAAATAGCCTTGCTATTCGATCGAAAGCAATATCATAAACATGTATTGCCTCTGCGCCGAAATGCATTATTAAATATGCAAAAGAAAATTCAATATAAAATTGACAGACAAAATTCATCAAATTTGAGTTGGCTTTCCTCATTTGCATATGTTGTTGTTCTAAAAATATTTAAAAAAAAATTTATATTTGTATTAGTTAAGCTTTTTTCTCACTGTTCTGAGTGTCCTTTTTGTTTTTGGCCGTCTGGATTCCCCGTGGTGCAGACGTCACCATCATTTTGTTTGCGTATTTAGATTTTAATTTGCGATAGAAACTTCTTAATAGGATTTTACTGTCTCGCTGCTTTCACTTTTGTCCCGCTTTCCTTGAATTTGTCATGGACTTTCCTCTCTCTCCCACTTTCTTGCACACACATGCTGACACATTAGCAGACATGGAAAATATTGTTTCGACATTCGCATTAGGTTGTCAGCTGGCGTGAAGCGAACTCCTTTCCGCCTGCTAATGAAGCTCGAATTTGGCAGCAAACATTTTTGTGCCTATTTAAGTGGACGAAGGAAAATGGGAAAAGTGATAAGGAGTGGCCGAAACATGGAGAGAGAGGAGAGGGGCTGCAATACTCTAAGGGCTTTTAGACCATTTTTGGGCTTTTCTTAATTGTTTGACTTGACTTTCCGGCTCAGGCTTTTCACCTTTTCTCTTCATTTGTCCTTTGTCTTGTGGGCATCGCGGTTTTTCGCTGACGTCGCTGCTGCTGTTTCTTCACCCAGGTTAACTGTCTTCCTTGTCGTTCCTCGCCCAACAGCTCCTACACATTTTTCTCATCTGTTGGATGCGTGGGCAGCTGCTGAATTATGTAATAAGCGTCATTGGCTTTGTCTGTCAGAAACAAGGGGGCAGATCATTTCTGCTTTAATTTATGGTGACTTTGATAAGCGGCAAATGCTTGTAAGTGACATAAATTACCCAAGACAATGCCTCAAGATGAATCAGTAGCCTCCAACGCCTCCATAACAAAAACCTTGAATAAGTAAATTTATCCTGTCTAGACGGGAGGGGAGAGAGATAAAGAACCAATATCGATTCCATTCATTAGGTAATTGCCCTGCTCGGCCCAAGTCATACATTTATTCAGTGACCTACGAAATAATCGACTCGAAACGAAATGATGAAAAAACCCAACAAACCGTACTCGGTTTAGTCCCTTTTTTCCCGAACTTGAATCCACGTTAAACTCAATTAAGTTTTATTTAAGGGGTGGGCTTAAATGGGACATGTGGAGATGTTTAGTGATATCGATAGGAGTGGCCTGGGAATGTGTACAACTTGTGGCATACGGTACGTCTAGTATACGCCATGTTGGCCGGGCCATAATGCTCTGACAAATACTTAGGGCAAACACGATAAACGTTTTAAGTCATCGAATCAAGTTGTTGCTGGGATAAAAAAAAAAAAGGTAAACTATTGCTTAGTCGCTGCTGACAGCCAGACATGCAATTTGGAGCGGATTTCCCGCACTCTCTCAACTGCCAGCTCATATTTATAATCAGAAGAGGGCTGCGGGGTGGGCAAATCCTGTGGGCAGGTCCTGCAGTCTGACATGAGACCAGCTGGCAACTGCTTCCGTCACTCAAGTGTACTGGATTCGGAGCATGAAAGTGGCTGCCAGGTGCGGCTCCATCTGCATCGCATGATGATCATTTACTTGATGATGCTGCTGTGGCTGATGAGCACTCTGTACTGGCTCTTCTCCCCTCAAGGGAGTTTTGCATGTCCGGCTGTAGTCAGTCAACCAAGAAATGTCTTGGCTCATATGAGTGCTCGAGACTGTGCTGTTTGAAAACTCTTGGCTAGATCTTGAAGTTCTTAAGCTGAATAATTTGTTGAGCACACTTAGATTTAAAAGTATTTTAGGTAGGAATTGAGAAAAATTAAGGTAAAAATATTTTTGCTTTTCATGTAGTATGCTTATAAGTGTATAAGTGTATGAAAGTGTCAGAGGGTATTATACGACGACTATAGCATATAGTAATTTTTTACATAATTAATTTTTGACGTAGTAATAATTTGATAGTTTAGAATTACGTTTTTAATTTTATTCGAATCGAAAAACAATAACATAGCTTCAATGTTTTTAAACTACACACAACTAAATCATAATTTTAATGTCTTCAAGAATATTTAATTTTTGCAATAGGTGCAAGGGTATATGAACTTCGGCTTGCCGAAGTTTGCTTCCTTTCTTGTTTTTTAATTTTTTTATAGTTCGTTTTGAAATAGTAATAATTTGAGAGTTCAGATCTACGATTCTAATTGCATTCAAACCGGAAAACGATATCATACAGCTGCCATAGAAACGGTCGAATAATTGAGCTGAAAATCATCATAGCTTCAATGTCTTTAAACATACACGCATATAAATCAAAATTAAGTGTTTTTAAGAATGTTTAATTTTAGTAATAGCTGCAAGGTTATATAAACTGGCCGAAGTTTCCTTTCTTTCTTGTTTGTTTTTTTTTTTCTAGGGAATCCATTGAGCAATACTGTTGCATGTTGTGGGCTGCATCAAAAGTGTAGTCTACGTTCAGCCAGCAGCGTTGACAAGGGCCAGATCGGGCATTTTGGCCATTACTAATAATGGGCGTGGATTGTGTGAGTGGCTATGTTCCGCCCTCGCTTCCTTTCCCCTTCTCTGGCGGCGATGAAAGTATGTCAAGATTTACGCGCATCGTTAAAGCAATGAACAACAACGGCAGTCCTAAAAAGAAGGCACGAAAGAAATGAAAGAAAGTTGTTTGCCGCGCGGAACGTACGTGTGGCATGTGTGTTGGTGAGTGGCAGTGTGTGGCTGAGTGGCAGTGTGTGGGAGGGCGTGCCACACGCAAGCGGGCTTCGAAGTGGAATCTCCCAGCTCTTCAGCACTAACGACACGTCAGTCAAAGTCAACACACACTTCAATTTCAGCTGCTGCGGGGGATGAGCCAAAAATTTAACACTGTCACTTTTTTCAACAACACACAGGAACACTAAAAAAAAATGTATAGCAATAAATGCGCTGTCATATGTGTGGGGCATTGCAGCAGACTGCGAAAAGTGAAGGGGATCCAGGATTTTTTTTGTGCCCTTGCATATTTACTTTTCAACTTTGTCACATGCCACAGACATTCTGATTTGCAACCTCTCTCCACCCGCCAAATGAATGTGTCGAACAGCAGCTAACCAAATGTTTTATTAACAGTGCCCTGTAGCCCTGTAGTCCCCATTTTTCTCCTCTTTCTTCCACATCCTTTCTGTCTGAGCTGCAGATTGCTATACTCTTTCAAAGAGTATGACAATTTTATTAATGGTTTTATTGAAAAAATATTGGACCTTTTGGAATAAGTTCACTGCTGAAAGCTGCTGTCATTTAATACAAAAATACAATAGTTAAAAGTTTTTATCAGTCCTATTTATCACAAATAGAATATAGAATAAAAATAGCATTTCAAATAAATCTCACATTCAAAGTCAACTAATTTTTTCTTGGGAAAAATATAAAAATATTTAAATTTACTTTAATTATTTGTAAAAATATTTAATTACATTATTCTGGTAAAATATTTGTTTGTTTATAAAAAATTGTATTAAAAACATTTTTGATTCGGATTTTAAAATTATAAAAATAATTATAAAACTTTTAACCATATAAAAAATTTTTTTTCCAATGCCGTAAAAATGTAGTTGTTTATTCCTGAAAGGGTATTCCCAAGTACGGCCCTAGAAAGTAACCTGCGTTTCGTGTTTTCATTTGATATTTGCGCATTTCCGCATTGCTGACATGTCTGACATGCCAAGCGGACTAACACAAACACAACTAAGGAGTGCAGCTGCCACGCCCAACTGGAACTCTGCCCTGGGGTAATTAAAAGTGCTTGCAGCTGCTCCGTTTTTCTCATTTCGCCAGGCCAACTCCTTCGGGCAGTTAAACTGTTCCGGCAGAATAAATTCGCTTTTGTTTTTGGCTCCACGTTTAATATATTTCACTTTATTCTACCCATTTTCATCCAGCCCATATCAAATAATAATGCCCCAGACTACCGAGGCCATTACGTATACGCAGTGTAGGGAACTAGCTAATTTTCTAGATGCTGGCATCCAGCTGAACGTTGGCCGGTCCCCAAGTGTCCGAAGGTTTGCAGGCGGCACGTACTTTCTAAAAGGGGAACATTTCAGAGAAATACGTGGAATATCGGTGGAAAGGGGCCAACTTACCTGCCCGAAGCTTCCAGGCTGGCGACGCTGCTTATAGATGGCATAGAAGGCCCAGGCCGGCAGTTGAACCAGCCCCAAGGCCGCCAGCAAAAAGCCAAAAACTGTATGCCGAAAAAGAGCAGGAATAGCCTTTAACAAAAGCCAATGACGAGTATCTATGGTCTTACCATGAGCCAAGGTGGGATAGCCCACACCCTTGTACTCCAGAGCGGACATGTCGAGCAGCATATAGATGAGCACGGCGATCATCAAACCAGGCGTGATGAAACGCCAGCACAGACGCCAATACCAACCGGTTTCAATGCCCATCATGAACTTGATGTCCGCGCAAAAGCGATTAACACCTTCAAGTTTAAAAATACAAATTTTTCATTGGGAAAAAAAGATAATGGCCTCAGCTGGAATTTATCGTTTTCCAGAAAAAAGTTGCGAACTTAATCTTAGTTACAAAGTACCCACCATAAATCCAAGCAACTGCCACCAACTCGCCAATGGCCAGGATTAGGGCGGTGAAGGAGACTCCGTAGAAATCCACTAGGTTCAGGACAAACTGACCGCCCGGGGTCATGTAAACAATGCTCACCGAAAAGCCCATTACGGCCAGACCAGTGGCCAGTTTCCAAATGGGCGGCGAGCGCAGTCCGAGCTGATCCCTAACGACACGCAGGATGCAGGAGCCCATGCCCACCGTGCTGCCAATGCCTAGGACGAAGAGCATGAGGAAGAAAAGGACCGCGAACATCTTTAGGTAGTTGTGCTTTAGGGCGCCCACGGCGCTGTGCGTTCGCGATACCTTACCTGTGGCACATACTCGAACCTGGCAATGGCCTCCGGGTACGAGATGAAGGCCAATCCGGCGCCGCCCTTCACCACGCTGCCGATGTCCGCGACCCCAGTCTCGCGGGCCAGATTCCCCAGAATCCCGAAGGTGATGCAGCCCGCGATAATGGACGAGCAGGAGTCCATGGTGGTGATGATTACAATGTCGCTGGGGGAGAGTTATTTAAACGAAAAATAAGTTTTTGAACTCTTTAATAACCAGAACCTCGCTCGTTTTAACTCACTTGTATACATTTCGATTAAAGTTGTTGTAGCTGGCATAGGTGATCAAAGTGCCAAAACAGATGGCCAGGGAGAAAAAGACCTGTGTTACGGCAGCATACCAGACGAGTGGGTTCAGCAGCTCGCGCCACTGCGGCTTGAAGAAGTATATGATGCCATCGATGGCTCCTGGAAGGGTCACGGCTCTTAGCAACAGGATAAGCAGCACCACATAGGGAAATACGCCCAGAAAATAGGCCGCCTTGCCACTGCTCTTGATGCCGCGAATAAGGACTCCACCGATTACTAGCCAAGCCACGGCCAAACAGGCGACCAACTGCCAATTTGGGACTCCCACTCCATTGTCAATGTTGGGCACCTCATGGAGGATTTCGCGTCTGAAATAGGAAATGACAATGGTTTCTGGTAAAGTTAGTGTTAGTTGATCCCCTATAGCAAAGTCAATAGCATCAGCAGAATGAGTCACCCAAAGTTATTTTTTTTTATAGTTCGTTTATAATTTTATAATCGATCGAGTTCATAGACGTTACTGATCTGGGAGGGAGTTACGCAAGTGCTCAACGTCAAATCGTTCAATTTAACGTATATATCCTAAGCTGTAACTTTGCCCATAAATAAACTGAAATTTTTAAGAAACTATCTAGCTATATAAACCACAAATAAAATGAAATTTTTTAATCCCTAATAAAATTCATTTAAGATACATTTTTAATCTGTCAAAGGTATCAACTTATAAAACCCAGATTCACTGTTGTTGCGTCGGTGAAATAAATAGTTCTGCACTTAGATTTAAAATGTACAGTTGTTTATTTTATCAATTCTGTTTTAAGAATGCCAAGCTACTTACTTGTAAACCTTAATTAGTTTGTCTAAATTAATTTTTAATGAATTTCCGTTGTTTTCGGGGTACTCACTCAAAGTACAGCTGGGCTGGCGACATCTTTCCGCTGCTATTCACAGCACTTCCGTCATGGCAATCACTGCCCCAGCTTTCCCAGCAGCGACTCCACGGTAACTCAGACCCAAAAGAGGCCACCAGAAATCTCAGAGTCAAGGCCATGATACTGGAGTAGTACGTAATGGAGGCGCCTGTGGCCAGGACCTGGCCCACCGCCACGCCCTTGAGCAGGGGAGCCATGTCGAAGGCCTTGACCACGCCGCGACCCGTGAATTGGCCCAGGGAAATCTCCAGATAGTAGACAGGACGTCCAATTACCAGCAGGGCAATCAGATACGGAATCACAAACGTACCGCCGCCATTCTGGAAGGCAATGTACGGAAAGCGCCAGATATTGCCCAAGCCCACGGACAAGGAGATGCACGAAAAGAGGAACTCCAGGCCGTTGCCCCACTGCTCCGCCGGCTTTTCCGACTTTTCCGACTTTGCCGACTTGTTGGAAATCTCTAGCTTTGTCATTTCGCAGAACTGTGCACTTTGAGATGGCGCGCTTAACTAACCGCAATCGAGATACTCACACGCCTTGATACTTGCAAACTCAGACTGCCGCCAGCTACTCAGGTTCAATGCCAGGCCCACGCCACAAATTCTGTGCGGTTGAATATCTAGTTTGGGGCAGTCTGTGGCTGTAATCTCGTCAGAAATAGCTCAAAACGCATCGTGAAATTAGTCGTAATTGGCACTAATAAAAGGTGCTAAGTGAGATGCAGATGCCAGAGGCAGAAACGGAATCAGATTCAGAAACAGAGACACTGTGTAGAGATCCATTAGAGGGATCGTGTTTATTGACCGTCCTGACCGATGAATTAATTTGTACAGGCATGAGGAGGGGGTTAAGGCACCTGGTTTGGATAAGCTTTAATTAAAACCGACTACGTAAATTGAGCAAAACTGTGAAATTTGAATAGCCTGCGACAAATTGTGAAATAAGGAAGCCAGTCGAGCTAATCTAGAAAGATTGCGGTCCAATTTGATAAAATTTAATTACATAAAAGCATGAATTTATATTGGCTAAACTTTTGAATCATAAACTTTTCTGCAGGGCTTTCCAAAGTTATTTGCCAAGTAAAATATATTTCCAAAGCTATACAAAGAACCTGTGATAAGTCTTAAAACATTTTTTATTGAAGTACTATATTACCACTAGTATCTTTCCTTCTCTCGTCTGTCTGACAGCATTGGAAAGTTTTTAATAATTTTCAAGAGTTTTCTAATTAACATCCCAGGCAGGCTGCAACTGAAGTTGGCAAGGGAAGGAAGCGGGCCAAGAAAATAAAGGGAATGGATGCTTAGGAGGGTGACAAGGGAGGTGGGAGATAGCTGGTTAAATGCCATTGAGCCGGTTGAGTGTGCCATTACGGTGACAATTTTAAATGGGGTTTTAACAACTTTCGCAGATTTATGGCAATTAAAAGCCTTTGATAATGCTGATTGCCTCCGGCTGCTTGAATGCGTGGGCATTGCAATCCCTGGTAATTGACTCTAATGCACATCAATGCACTTTCAACAGTTCTTATTCGTTTCCTTCTGGTTTTCTGGGATAAAAAGTTTTATTGGGATTTTATCAACCCACCGTATAAGTTACCACTTTATTTAAGATATCTGAATTTATCTTTTTATGAAAATAGATTTCATTAATTTATAAAGCAGAAGCAAGTCTAAGCGTTGCACATTACACATAAACAGATGGTGAAGCAGAACCCATAAATATTTTGTGTTTTCTAACTTTTTAACAGTATCGATTGCAAGTAAAATATTTTGGAAATTTAAAAGTAAGTTAAAATCCACACTCAAAACTATTTTTTTTTATTTGAAAACATTTTTTTTTACAGTTAAAAAAAGAGGCAGCTTAGAAAGAAACACAATAAATGTAAAAAATTTTGAAAATATTAAAAAAAAATTTTTTTAAGACAAATTTTCTAAAATACAGAAATATTAAAAAAATATAAAATTTATTTCTGTATTTTAGAAAATTTTTCTAAAAAAAATATTTAGAAAATATTTTGCAGTATATTTTAAAAACCTTCCTATTGTAATTTTTATTGTAAATTGAAATCATAGGCGATTTTCTAAAATAAAGGCAAATTTCTGTTTTCGAAAAAAAAATGTTGAGTGCATAGTGAGTCCTTTATCATGCTATGTCAAAGCCATTGAATACATAAAAATTTCATGGAATACAGAATAGAAACACAGGTTGGTCATTTAAGAGTGTTTCGTTATTTAGTTGATTGTTATTGGACTCCTCGCACTTGTTTTTATGGTTTTCATACCACAAATTATCGCACATAAATTGCCATTAGCAGGGCAGAGAGCGAAGGGGTATATAATTTCTGGTTTTTTCTCCTGGTGTTGGGTTAATTAAAGTGCAGTGCATTAGCTTGTTGTAGAAAATGGGAAAGCGGGAAATGCTGGAAAAGCGAACGGAGGGGGATGGGGAGTGCCAACTAACTTTAATTGCAGCTGTAAAATGTTGTTACTTGCGCACGCAGATTTTGAACGAGCAGCAACAATGGCAGCGAAATGAGGCAAATAAAATTGGGGGAAAAAGTTTTGCGATGCCACAAGCAGAACAAATGTGTGTGGGCACGGGGATGTGAGCATGTGTGGGTTTCAAGGATCGATAGAAGGAGGGAAACTCGAAGCTCGTTTGCAGGCCCATTAACAAGCAAAAAATGAGCGCTGCAATTAGTTTTCCCTTTCTTGTTTTGCTCCTAACTTAGCCCACTTGGTTTCCGTTGGCATTCTCTTGTTTCGGTTTTTCACCTAACAAGTTTACTTTACAAATTGATTTCAACGGACTTTGCAACAACTTCCGTTCCCCCTTCACCTGCCTACGTACTGGTAATCCACCCACACACACTCACTTGTGTGCCCTGTTTAAGTTTCGCAGTTTTCCGTCCAATCAATTCTTTTTTGCTCTTCCGGCCCGCAAATGTCACAGCCTGTCAAATGCCATGTTTTTTTCCTTCTTGTCCCTCGTTTGGCTCCACTATTTTTAACTACAACTTCATTGAGTTCACATTTAATTTCAAATTAATTTTTAATCAACTTCAATTGAATTAAAATGGGTTGACTGCGACAGCTCGCTAAAAATTAAACTTTTACCTTGAAATGTACCTCCTTCTCCCAGCGTTCCGCAAAATGGAAGCCCTGCGGTGGTAGGGCTGTAAATAAATTAGCCTCATTTATTATTGAATTGAAAATGCGTTAAAATTAATTATAAATTACGTTTCATTCATTCCATTTTCGTTGCAGGTGCCACGCCAAAGCGGAAATTAACTTTCGGTGAGTAGAGAAACTACACAACTAAGTGCTGCAGCAATGTGTTATGCTAGCTTATGAGGCAACTACGTGTAACTGGCCAAATGGGCGGCTTTTCTCCATCCCACGCACGACCCATTCTATCAATCTTGTTACAGGGAAAACAAAAAGTTAGCTGGCAAAAGTTGCAGCACAGTTTGTATCTACAATGTGTGAAATTTGATTGGATATTCATTTGCCGAAAACATTTTTGTGACAGCAATAATTAATTTTTACTTTCTATCTATAAACAATAAACTTGTTTGCTTGCAGCAAAAAACTTAGAAAACACATTTTATTTAAAATGTTTTAACTCTATTTTAGTCATGTTTATACCCTTGCAGAGGGTATTATAATTTCAGTCAGAAGTTTGCAACGCAGTGAAGGAGACATCTCCGACCCTATAAAGCATATATATTCTTGATCAGCATCACTAGGCGAGTCGATCTAGCCATGTCCGTCTGTCAGTCTGTCCGTCTGTCCGTCCGTTTCTACGCAAACTAGTCTCTCAGTTTTAAAGCTATCTGCATGAAACTTTCCCAAAAGTTGTCTTTCTATTGCAGGTAGTATATAAGTCGGAACGAGCCGGATCGGACGACTATAGCATATAGCTCCCATAGGAACAATCGAAAAAATAAATAAAAGAAATTATAACTTTGCTGTTGTTTAATTTTTTTTGTAGTTCTTCGACATATAGTAATGGTTAAATATTTCAGAATTACGGTTTAAATTTCATCAAAATCGGACGAGTATATCATATAGCTCCCATAGAAATAATAAAATTATATAAAATAACTATATAATATTTGAGCTGCAAGTCATCATAATTTCAATGTTTTTAGACATATACGCAAGTAAATCATAATGTTTTAAAAAATATTTAATTTTTGCAATAGCTGCAAGGATATATGAATATGAAGTTTGCTTTCTTTATTGTTAATTTATATATAAATACTTTTATTAATAAACTATACTAATTTGTTGATGTCTTAGAAAGACTTGAATAATTCTATAATTGATATTTGAATTTGGACATTATTCCAGATTAGTTGTTGTCTTTAGGCCTTTACCAAGTGTTAAGGATTTTCTTTATAGTTAGCTCCACACTTTTCCTCTGTGTCTAACGTGAATTTAAAGGGTTTAGGGCCAGCAATCACTTCAGCTGCTGTTGCAGCTCCGCTTGTTATTTGTTTCGCTTAGCGCGTGCCTCAATTATGGCCAAGGTAACATCCACTTGAATGCAACGCGCAGTAACGGCAATGGCAACTTAGTTGCCCCGGCCAAATGTCAAGGGAGGAGGTGGAAGCCGGGAGACGGGCGACAGGCAGTCGGGGAAACTCGGGCAGGAGCCCAGGTGGAAACTCCGTCCAAGTGTTTAACCCAGTTCGCAGTTTGGCGCACAGCTCCTGATCCAGCTTTAGTGGCCGCCTTTGTTGCCATTGTTGTCGATTGCCGTTGCTTTCGGTTTGTTTCGTTGTTTGCCGCTTGTTTGTTGCTCTTGCACTTGCGGCACGTAATTGTTGCAGTGCTTGTTATTTTGCCGTTGCTGCTGGAAAAGTTATTAAAATGAAAAAGGCAAGAGCGAATCGATTATGCCGGATGCAGCAGCACAGCAGGGCGTGGAACTCTCACAATTGCGCCAACTTTGCCATACAAAACTTTTATTTCGGCACCAAAAAAAAAAAATCAAAAAATCAAGGGAAGCAGAGAAGAAACTTTAAATTGACATCGAATGGCAAGACCGAAAGCTGCTGTGGCAATACCTAACAAAAGTGAAAAGTTGTCGAAAGTTTTCTTTTCCGAAAAAATGATAAGCCTCTTCTATCGTATCCCCGATCCCATCGACAAGTCACGCACGCTTTTCGATTAAGCGAAGATAGCAAAAGACAAAAGTCTAAAGTCCAAAGTCCAAAGGAAATGGACTACGGGGCGTATGAGTAACAAGTTTTTTCGTATGCACGACCAGCAATGTCTGTGGCTTTGCGAGTAATGCGAGTAATGCGAGTTTAACAACTGAATTGTTGACTGACATTTAAATTTGCCAACACAATTTGCATTTCTTTCAACTCTCCGCCTGTCACTTGTCGGGGGCTTTGTGTGTGGAATTTATGCAAATAATAAGCATTTCCTTTCGGTTGTCTCCATTACTTGGTTGGCACGTCTAATTTCGAGCAACTTTTCGGGTGCCCCATGTTCGTGTTTGAGTTGGCAAACAAATTTCAATTGCAAGTTGGGGGCATTTCTTTTGCTTTCTTTGACTTTGATGTAATTTAATGTGGCATTTGGCTTGCACTTTGGCTTTTGGTGTTTGGCCACATGTTCCCGTACCCCGCAGTGGCAGCAATTAAATATGAAAAGTAATTTTCATTGTTAGCCAGGGAAAAGCTGGCACAGTTCAGGACTGGAAATCCATTCGTTTTGCGCTTATCTGCAGTTCGCCGTTGACAGCTAAAGAAAATGGCTCGGTAAAAGTACAACCAAATGCAATTTGCATGCCAAGAAATAATTTTATAGCTCTCTGAGTCTGCTCTTTTTGCAGAAAATAGCAAATTCAAGGAAAATGTCTTTGGTAGCTGGTAGAACGTACTTAAATTCAACTTGACATCTTCTGGATTTAGAAGTTTCCGCCCTCAACAAGTGTCGTTTGAGCAAAGCTCGCCTGGCTCGTCCAACGAAATTCTGCAGCGTAATTGGCAGTGAATATCTTTGGCTTGTCCACCCGGCGTATGCGCAATCTCATTGACAATCGGCTGGGACGTGGCACACTGACAAAAATAGTGACACAGCTTGAATATTTTGTGCGCATTGCCTTAATAATAATTATTTGCCGGCTTTGGCCTGGCATTTGGCCAACTGTATAAGCCGAAGCCAAGAGGGCCAATGCCTCTTGTGGCTCTGACAGCCGACAACTGACACTTGAGGCGCCCGTTAACGTCGTTTACCATATTTACGCTTTAAACGTTATTTATTTGCCACTTCGGCTGCCAGAGGAGCAAACTGCTGCCGCTGTCAGCTGCGCCACTCAACTTTGATATTGTCAAAATGTAGCACGCCCAATGTGTTAACCAGCTGCAGAAGACCCAACACGATCTCCCTGCCGTAAGCCCAATTGCTTGTGGATGAGGAGTGTGCACAGCATTTTAGGGCAGATTTTCCTGGCTTTAGTTAAGGCCGCAATGCCACACTAAGTGGCTTTTTATCAAATGTCCTTAGTGTTCCTGCTCACATACACACATGCGCACGCACACGTATTATTTGTTTGGCTTTTGTGCCATCTACGTGCGGTAGGGCGGTTGGGCGATGGTGGGGGCGTGGTCAGTGGTGGCACTTAGGCATTGGAGAGCCTAAAATAACAATGATTAAATGTAATTTTAGGAAGTCCACCGCCCCCTTTCGCGCCCCTCCACCGGGAGGCAGCTCTCAAGTCTAATTACAATTGGGTTTGTTTTTACCCGGACTTTGGGCAGGGGAAACTTGGGAGGTGGCGGGTGCGTTGGTGTTGGCCAATTCCTGGGCCCCTCGATTGTGTGAAAGCCTGTGTGTCATCGTCAAGCGTGAAAAGTGCCGCGAGAACTTTACCAACATGTTCGCCAACAGCAACGAAAATGAAGTTGTTTGGGAGTTTGTCCGCTCGGCGCGTCGCTTCCCATGTTTGCTCTCTGTCTCAACTTGTCACGAACAAAAGTGCGGCCACGACCTCTTCCTGAAAATGTCTGCACTGGGGCAAAATTTGATATGTTTTAACACTTTATAGGTATGCCCATTTCTTTTTATCCGTAACCCTTACGTTGTTAAATAGCAAAAAAAATAGCAAAAGATCAATTGAAAAATCAGATATTTTAAATAGTTAAATGGGAACAAAATTTGATATTAATTTAATTGTATAAAGCTGATATGTTACGTCTGTACAAATTAAATAAGAAGGAACGATTTAGTCGAGTGTTTCGACTACTAGATACCTGTTACTCAACTTATCAAAAAACAATCAGGCTTAAACGCAGGTTTACTACTACAAGCTAGGAGCAAGCAGCAGCTCTTATTTTTAAATACAAAATTGTACGTTTTAAAATAATAATAATATAATAATAACACTTGTTTTAAGATTCGATAGATATTAACCGAATATACAGCTTATAAACTGGCCTATAACGTATCTCAGAGTGACATGACAGACTTTCTTGATTTGTGCGCGTTGGAGTGGGCGCGGTAAGATTTTGAAATAGTTTTTGCGCTGCAAACTCAAAATTTGAATCAGCATGTTAAGATAAAAATTTCTGACTTTTTATAATGACGGACAAAAATGGCTAGATCGACTTGGCTGCTAGTCCTGATCAAGAATATGTATACTTTATAGGGTCGAAAACGTTTCATTCTATTTATAACAAACTTTTTTACGAATGCTATATATATTTTATATTTTTATATGTAAAGTAACGACCATCCTAGATAATTTTTCCTTATTTTACCAAGATTTTTAAATTTGTTCAGCTCACATTACTTGTTGTTGTATGTTGTATGATTAAGGTGTAAAAATAATTAAGTATTTTCTTTCTGTGCACTTGTGGGTGTAATTCAGTTGTGTGCGTTGTTTGGGTGCCGCTGCTGTGGCCTCTGATGTTGGTGCCGTGCATTGTCAACAGCAACAGCAACAGCAACACCAACAGAAACAGCAGCAGCCCCACCACTTGATTCAATGCACAAACAAGGTTCGTCCTGCCGGTCTCCTTTGCCATGCCATGCCACGCCCCTTCCCTCCCGTTTCTCCCCCCTCCATCCGTCAAGCGTAATTACACGCCATGTCTGTTCCATTCAGGCGCCACCTCCCCCTCGTCCCGCCCACTTCTGTTTGATGTGCGTGTTTTATTTCGAGTGCCATTTGTTTTAATTAAAATTATTTAAAGCGTTTTCAGCTTGAAGTGCTTCGACATGGCGACAAGCCCAGGAATTAAATTTGTTCACTCGCCACAATTTCGGTCCAAACGAAATACAATGAACAGCAACCCACAGGTTCAAGAGTCGGGGTTTTGAGAAATAGTTGCTTTCGGAGAAACATGAGATAGGGTTATCCAATTTATCCAATTAGTTCGTGACCCAAGGGAACGTGAAATAATTGCTAACCGACAGTATGAATGTCAGTGGATGAGAAAAAGCTCAACTTTAAAGTTTCAAATTAAAGGACCATGGTGTACAAAGAGAGCAACAGAAGCAAAAAAACAACACCCGGAGGCTAAAAATAACTTTAAACGTTTTGAACAAAAGAATGCCATTTAATTGTTAACATAAAATTAAATTTTGGAGACGGTCTTGACAACACTGCAAGTTTAATGGTCACAAAATTAGGAGAAAATAAAGTGGGGCTGATCTATGTTGATTATTACAAAAATATACAATAAAAGTTGGATCTATTTTTATTTTTGTTAATTTCTTATTAAGATTTTAGCCAATAAACATGGATACAAAACGAGCCTTTAATAACAAAAGTTTAAATCGATTTTTAGCAGGTACTAAATGGTGCCATACATGAGTATGCAGGACATATTGTGTACTTTTTATCCGATTTCATGCTCAAATAGAAGACAACATATTATTTGTGTGTTTGTGACTCTCTTTGCATATTGCCCTGCAGCTGTACTTTATTGTCCACCTAAATTTCGTTTTGCTGATTTGTTTGCCAACGAATCGGTTTTTATTTGTGTTTTTTGCGGTAAACACAAGCACACCTACACCTACATCTACATCTACATCTACACCTACACCCACAACCTATACCCTAACACAGGCAATATCAAACGCAGCTAAAAGAGACACTTAACAACGGTTCCTCGGCCATTTTGTTTGTGTTACTGCTATTTTTTGTTGTGTTGGGTTGTGCGTTTGTTTGTGTGCATAAATGAGAAAAACCAACGTGGCAACCATAAAACACACACACACAAACACACACACACATATAGAGACATTCTCATGTTTGCACAATAAAATTTCAACAATATACGCGACAGGGTCTTTGTACTTGAGTAAATTGGATCTGTGCAGCGGGCCGTGAGGGGGGATGTTAAAATTAAATAAATATTTGCCTTAAAGCCCGCTGCTGCGGCTTACAAACCGAAACAAGACACCCACACAGCGGTATTTAAAGCAGCCAACCACAACAGAAACAGAAACCGGGCCGAAACAAAAGTCTCGAGTCTCAGAAATCTTTGCGAAAGTATTTCCACTTGGCAAAATAGCAGACGATGGGGGTAAGTGGTTTTTTCCCTGCCCCAAAGGGTTCATTCATGAGCTATAGAACTCTGAATCTGGGGATTTTGCGACGACAGCTGTCCATTCACAATGGGTGTGGAATTACTCATTTTATTATTGCACTGTTTATTTCATAATAATAATATTTTTGTGGTCGTAGTTAAATTTAATTATGGGAGTGCGCAGGAAAGCTTTCTAAATTAATGAATATTTAATGACTGCAATATTGGCACTCTATATAACAATTAATAATTTAATTATCATATTTTTTTTATTAAGCCATTTCTATTATACACTCTTTTATATAAAGAATTAGAGTTGTATTGCCTTGTTCTTTAATAAGTTCTTATAATTAGTTATTTTATTTTTTATAATATGTGCTTTTAAATTTACGTTAATTCGAAATAAAAAGCAATAAATGTTCACTTGTATACAGCTTTTTTATATGAACAAAACGGAAAAAGAAAACAATGTTTATGAGTAATAACTATAACTTCATAATTAATCAACACATTACAGTTATGACTTACAATGAGTATTGTTTGGAATATTCATGTGTTTCATTTAAAGAAAGGTGATTAAAAAAGTCCCTCACAACAGCTGTTTTCAAAGAATAGTCAATTTTTAGGGCGCAAAGCGCGTAGCTTATAAAAACTGCGAGTTGAGCAAGAATTAACTCATTTTAAAATATGAAAATTTGTGTAATATTGCTGGTGATATCGCTGTCCGCCCTTTCCGACGCTGCGGGGCGTGGTCGGAGTCACAGTGTGACTTGGGGAGTCAGAACCTACAGGGACATGCACTTACGGCGGGAGATCATAACGGAAAAGTCCAAGTTCCTGCGCGTGGTCACAAGGGATTATGTGTTTAATCAAAAAGTTGGTTATCCCTTTAACCAGTTATTCTCTCTAACAACTTTTTCCTGTTTATTTTTTTTTGTAGAAACTACCGCGCACCATCACACAGATAGTGATTACGGATCAAGTTAGGGACGGAAATGGGGGCTATGCATACTTAACTGCTGGTGGACCGCAAAGCACTTTCGCTAAAATTCATTTGAAGAGTCAACGCAACGAAGGTTTCAGCTTCATCATCGACATCTATGGCATTTAATCAGAAATTTTCCTGCTTTTAATGATATTCCACTCCATGCTAGGCTCCCTACAGATAGCTTGTTTATTTAATGGCCAGCACATATTTACATATTGAATATATATCCGCAAGCGCACTTATGTTTCTGTATTTATATGGGCATACAATTGACACAGGCTAAATGAACTGCAGCTAATATACAGTTGGCGAACGATACATATAGGGCTACTGATTGATCTGCGGTTGGAGCGATTAAATTTTGGTTTTGTTGGGGAGGGGATTTTGAATTTAATGCTGCTTTTATTCATGACATAAAACGCTAAACAATTGAGGATAAACCCATGCGGAAACCACTGCTTATTAACTGCAGGTTAACATATCATTCAATCACTATTTTGTTGTTATTTATTCTCTACTTTTCACTCAATATTTGTACCCATTATGCTCAGTTATTGACTAATACATCAAAATAACAAATAAAGTCTACACCTTTTTTGTATTGCCTTCCGGATTGGCAAAGAGCCAATTTTGAAGGTTATACGCAAAGTAAGTGGTGAGTTGTGTGAGGGCAGTTTTCACCACTCGTAATTACCCAGCCATTTCGACTAACGAGGCAAGTGCAATTTTCGGTTGGGCAAATGGGGAAAATATAACCCGCAAAAGCCTGTGAAACCCTTGGTAGGCATTCAGGCATTCAGGCATCCAGGCCCTTTGCCATTTAGCAAATGTCAGGCACTTAGCCTCGCAACACCCCCTAAACCACCAGAAAGTCCTAAAAACCACCTACCAACCACCCATCTTCGATGCGATGCCATCACCGAGTATGAAAGTCAAACAAATCCAATCAATGTTACGCAGACACATGTGCATATATATATACAAATAAATATATATATGTATATATCTATGGCCGTACGTATGCCTGCATATATGCAAATTAGCTGGGGTTATAAAATGTAATGTATTGGCTGTATCCCTCGGCTACGGGAAATCAACCATTGATGCGTGTATATACGGGGAAGTGAGGATACCATCAATCGCAACGAATTAAAATTTTATTATGCCATATTCCCCAAACGAGCGGAGAAGGTCGTCGGCGCTCGTATCTTTTATGGTTTTCGATTGTAAATGGACAAAAGTCTTCCAAGCAGCTGGGCAAATGTGGGTTAACAGGTCCTGGGTCCTCTCCTCTTGGACCCAAAGGTGCAACGAGTTGCAGTAGTGGCATTTCTGATTGACGGGCATTTTGCATACGAGCTGGCATTTGGTCGGGATGAGGATCTCACGCAGCACCCTTCGGCGACCTCAAACGCCAGTCAATGCCAGAGCAGCAAGCTTAAGCAATATACCACCCAAGTGAGCCAGGTGAGCCAGGTGAGCGAGGTGAGCTGCCATTCCAGAAAGCAGTGGAGCAAACCGAAAGCCATACATTATGCAGGTTGTTTGTTATCGTTCGATAAAGTGTAAATTATGGGAATGTTGCCAGGCAGCCAGGTCAGGTCCCACCTGACCATGCCCATCTGCCCACCTGCTCAACTTTTGCAATATAATTTCTGATATCTGTAATGTGTGTCTTTGGTGCGTAGTGTGCTCAGTGGTCTTGAAGTTTGCATTGTTAATCGAACAAACGGCATTTGCATGCTCGCATTTGAGTAATTTATGCTGAGCTCTGGAATGCTTTTTAATTGCCCGCCCAGATGTTCGATATTCAGGGGCTGTCACAGGTCATAGGCCATGGGAAACTGAGTGGAAACATCACAAGGACTGTCAATCGCAACTGGAGGGTCTTATGCAGATTTCCATTTGACTTTTGCCGCACACAAAGCAAAGTGTTGACCCCAGTTTCGCTGCTCACTGCTGTCACAGTCACAGTCACTTCCTTGTCTTCTATGGCAACAAAAGACGTTTCGTCGCCTCGTCTCGTTCATTTCACAGCCAATTTTGTGCATTTTTTTGCTGTCCTCTTCCAGCTGGATCCTTGGCTTTTTTCACCACTCATGTCCCTGCTGCCACTTTCTGGCCCTTTGTCCTGCGTGGAAAGAAAGTGTGAAAGCAGCAGGCGAACGGATTTCTGTTCCCGTTTCACCAGGGACTTTTGTTTTTCAATTGCCATTTGCCATATTTGCAGCAATTGTTTTCGTTTTCTCCAGCAGTAAATGCGATTGCAGCAAGTGAATGTTGTTGTATGGCACTGCTTACAGTCTGCACTGAGGAAAATCGACATTCCAGCCATATAAAAATAATGTTAAAATATCTAAAATTTGATATATACGCGTATAATTTTAAAAAACATTCAAGCTATGATGATTTTCAGCCGTATTTTGGATATATTAAACCCTTACTATTTGTCAGAGGTTAAAAAAAATTTAAATGTCATTCAACCAAATTAGTTTGGAATAAGTATTAAAGTGCTGAATGATTTCGATTAAGTTGGGTTAAAAAAGGTTTATATCGGTTTTAACATATCAAAACCATTGCTTCTCGTCTTCTCAAACTTCTGCATACGTATTTTTTTCAGTTACTTACACTGAATTTCCGGCTTAAGTTTGACTAGAGCAGTGCAACAGACTTTAGCTACTGTTATGGCGCCTCCGGTTAGTCCTATCAGCTGAGAAAGCAAGGAGCGGAGCAGCACAAATGGGATAGGATAGAAGCTTGTTATGTGCAGTCGCTCGTTGGAAACACACACTCAGTCGCACGCACTTGTTAGTTTCCTTTGGTTGCCTCCATTTCTTATGCTTATCAAGCAAAGCTTTTCCAACGTGCTAACAAACGAGCAAAAACAGCAGGAAAATGCGAAGGATAGAAAGCAGTGGGCGGCGGGGCAGAAGTTGATTGCCCGCAGTTGTTTTTCCGGCGTGCAGTTTCCACTCTGTCGATGCCTTGTGATTCCGTCACCGTTTAACCTTTCTCATCTTTGTACTAAGTAATATAAGACAATCTTGCTCCAAAGAAATTAACTTCACATTGGTTAAGTCTTCTTAATATGTTGTCAAGGTTTTTTTTCTTATCATAATCCAGAATATATTCTAGCAATTAACTTTGATGTAGGGTCTTTCCTTGCCAGCTGCTTGCCACTTAATGCCATATAAGTAAACCATTGTAAAATTACAAAAACGAAACAATTACTCGGGCACATCCATATGGATAAAGCTTTAAGCTATGATTCGGTGCTCTGTGGCGATCGTAATGTTCTTGACTTACAATTTCTCTTAAGGTATACATTAATTTCGTTCTCTTTTTCTTCAAGTCGATTTTGAGAAAGCTTTCGAAAATGTTCCACAAGCTGTTAGGCGATATAAAAACCTTGAAAAATCAATCGAGAATATCATTAACAGCAGAATATGTTACGTATTATTTGTTACTTTGTTTGTATAATGGGCTCTGCCGCTATAACCGAATATTATGAAATCTTCCAGTCGGGGTTTTTTCCTATAGCAACACAGTACTTTTCTTTTCAGTATTGCTTGAGCTTGGATCCTCCTCCGTAAACACAACACCTGATTGACAACCTATGAACTGCGTGACTATTGACGCACCTGCTAGGCACAATCTTTGGGATCATTAGCGTACCCCTTTTAATACATGAAAACAAGGACCATCCTGGGGTGGCGTGTTAGAAAAATATACCTCCTGTTCTTGTTAGAAAAAATTGGTTTGACTTTAGAGGCATGTCTTAAGTCCAATACCGTAGACCTTATTCATGACACTGTAATTTCAGTTGATACCAGAAATGAATAAGACGTATTCTGGAGCAATATGCATGTTTCTCCTTGACTAAAAGTTAATATTACAGTGGCATAAGGCCATTAACCGCAAAAATACACTGTGGAAATTTGAGAAAATACCATTTTATTATCAGATATAGTTAATATATAGCTAAGGTTCTTTTTAGGGCGAGTGCTGAGTTACACGGACTAATTGAATGCGCATATATATATATAGGGGGTAAAAAGATAGTTCTAGGTTTTGCTACGATTGCTTTGCCTTTGATAAGGGCTTTGGTGGTCGCAGATAGGCCTGGATATAGAAATTTCCGAACAGATACATGAAGACTAAGCCCTGTAGCATGTTCAGATACAGGAGACCGTGAGGAACACCACAATTCGTTGAGAAGAATCGCACGTAAGTGGCGTAGCTGAGGAGCATGAGGAACTGGCAGAGCTGGGTCAATGTTATATATTTCTTCCACCAAATATTGGACTTCACTTGGGGATACTCCGAGGACAAATAGTAGTAGAAGTACATGACCGTGTGCACCAAGGAGTTAAGTAATCCAACGGCATTAAAGTGTCCGCCAGTGCCATAATATCGGGTCAGAGCGTAACTGCCAAAGGACATGAACACATGGTGATATATGTGCAGGAAGGTGACCTGTTTATAGCTCTTTCGCAGCACAAAAAACACGGTGTCCATCAGATCGAGCACTTTGTTGATCAGGTATGCGGCATGCAACACCCGTTCTATCTGCTTGCGTTCATGACCCTGGGGAAAACTCTCCATGCAGTGTAAATTACATATACCGGCGATGAACAGATAGTAGAAGACCTTGAACGGAGAAAGATACTCAATTAAGATGATGAACCAATCTAGTAAAGGTTTAAACATACCACTCCAAAGTAGATGCCGTTATAAAGCACCTGAAATATATTGTAGACCTTTAACACTGTCCTCAAATCATATGCCTGCCGATTCTTCATAAAGATCTTGCCCAGTTTGAGCACAAACAGTAGATAAGCCACTAAAATCAGTAGAATTGGCCATGGTGATCCAGCCAATGGTATGGGGTTCGGATCTGGTCAGATATAGGCAAAAATTGTCGTACATATGTATATATATATCGGGTTAGTTAATCTCCGAACCCACCTGCCTGAGGAATGCGCAAAAATCCGAGCATCGTTGATGGGTGATTGTCGATTGAGGGACCACTGGTGACTGTTTCAGTTGCCTTAAGACATTCCAGTCTGTTTTATCGGAATTGGGCAAATCAAACAAAATAATGTTTTATTCAAGTATTTGAACCGCAATGTCTGTCCCACATTTTTAAATGAGAGACCTAGCACAATAGGCTTGATCAATTAACACTCAATGGAGACCAACTCATTTTTTCGAAAGAGAACTACAATTTATTGCTCATTGCTGTTTGCTCTTGGCTTTGACATACGTTTGATAGTAAAAGTTGCCGAACATGACAATCATGGTTGTGGATAGCGCCAGTTGGACGAACTGTAGGTACAAGGGAAAGGAGCAGCCGGGATTCAGCCACGTTGTCAGTATACCTTGGGCGAAGAGGATCACGAACTGCAGGAGCTGCAGTTTGGTAATGTACTTTTTCCACCACAATTGCCTCTTCATTTGTGGATGCCAGGCAGAGGCAAAGTAGTAGGAGTACATGACCATGTGCACAAATGAGTTTATGTAACCCATCAGGTTGTATTGTCCTCCGGCACCGTAGAAATAGTAGGTTAAGGGCACTCCCAAAACCATCACTGCATGATGGAAAACGTGCAACACGGTGATTTGCTTGTAGCTCTTCCTCAGCACAAAGAACACCGTGTCCATCAGGTCAATGACCTTGATGAGGAAGAAAAAGTAGGTAAACAAACGATCGGCTTGTTTGTCTGGATGATCCAGCGGCAATGTGGTCATGCAGTAAAAGTTATAAGGTTTTGTCACAAAAAGATATTCAGACCCCTGTGTGAAGAAAAGCGTTACAAAAATACAGAACGAAAAATATTAAAATACGTTTACCTTTACAAACACAATAAGATTCATCAAAACCTGACAGAGATTATAGACCAACATGGCGATTCGCACATTGTAAGGTTTTCGGGACTCCATAAAATCGGGACCCACTTTATAAACCAGCAACAAATAACCCAGAACAATCATGATCGAAGGTATTGGTGTGCCAAGCAGGGGCAGATGCACGGGATCTATCGATAAAGATGAAATTCCAAATAATTGGTTAGTATTCCAGGAGCAATGATAAAGTTTACCTGCCGGCAATCCCCGGAAAACATCCAAAAGCGATGAGTTCATGGTGGTCACGAGTCTATATCCGTAGATTACTACTGAGGCTCACTTTGGCCATTCGCCTCTTTATATACGAATGCAAGTGCAACCAATGTATTCCGACTCCAACCACTGGTTGCCCCAAATGCTCTTGCATACACTATGCTATTACTGCGGCTCAACTCACTGGACAAAAAACGAACAGCTTTGAATTTCTAATTTGGAAATTCTAATTTTTCCGCGGGCATTGCATTGATCAAGACGTGGGTCAGCTAAAAAGGTTTCTAAACGTACAAACATGAGTTTCTAGCTGGCTCATACAAATAAAAGATTGTTAAAGCACGGTCTAGCTTGACAAAAAAGAAATTTAAAATATAGAAATTAGAGTCAAATAATCAAGCTACTAACAAGCTCAAAATCAAAAGTAACATTTTAGCAAATATGGCAGTATCCCACCGTCGAAATTGTGAATGGCGTCTGGCGGATAAATGCAATACTTTTAGCTCAGAAGTAATGGATTACATTTGCTGTTTTTGGTCGGCGAAGTTGTAATCGATGCTAACACGACTTCGTTATTTCGTTTCCGATCCGTCACATTTGTGCTCCGGAAGTCCAAAAATGGTTTAGGTATAGGAGTTAAAATATAATTAAGTAGTGGTCCAGACGTTAGGAAGTCCTACAAGTAAAAATTAGAGCCAGGTTCGATTCCTACTTGGGAAAAGAATATTTTTTTTTTCGTAAGCCCACTGAGTTACAACTTATACATTGTTTTTATTGTATATTGAATGTTAGTCGGCCCTCAGCTTTCGCATACTTTCGCATACTTTCGCAGCCAAATTGCAAACATATTAAGGCAAAATCAACTAAGTATATTAAACTTGTTTGCAGAGCCTGCTTTTGCCTTGACTTTTCTAACCGATTCTTGTGTTTTGTTTATATTTACAGAGGTTCAAAGCGTTTTTGGCAAACAATAGACCATGGCGCTGGACAACATCAACAGCAGCCAAAGCCAAATCGGGCGAGGCCATTACAGCATTAATCCCAGAATAGGGGCAACATCAGCAGCAGCAACTTCGGAAGAAGCAGCAATGGCAGCAATAGCAACAGCAACAGCACCAGCAGCAACAACAAATCTAATTACAGAACAACAATAAGGTCAGGCCCTGGTGCCGCTGATGATGATGATGTTTGGAAACTTCCGTTTTGCTTGCCCGGGCGGAAATGAGGCGCAATATGTCGTCCAGTCACTGCTTACCTTTCCAACTTTGTGAAAAGTGACCTCGAACGTATAGAGCAGAAGGAATCTCTCCACCCGGCGATTGCCTGGAATTTAATTAAAGCGCAAAAAAAAACACAAACCGAACTCCGGCGAGGGTCGAAACAAAAGAGCAGTGCCCCAAAGGCGGGGCGTGGCGGCGGTGGCCCATAAATCTAACCGCCCACCACCCAGCACCCATGCTGCACGTTGCTGCAATCGAGCTGGCCCACGTCCACTGGCCAATTAGCTGCTGCAACAGCCGAGAGCGGCAATCGTTTGGGCTCCATTGAACGTGTTCTCCTGCCTCTCTGATGACTGCCGCCAAAAGACGGGCGGGCAGCAGCAGCAGCAGCAACAGCAGCGGCAGCAGCAACAGCAGCAGCAATGGCAATGAGCAGCATTCCCTGCAGCAGCAGCACGGCCAGCAGCAGCATCAGCTTCAGCAGCAACATCAGCAGGCCCAGCCACACGAGTACCAACAGTTGTTGCAAAACCCGCACCATCACCACCACCAACACTACAGCACCAACAGCGGCAACAGCAACGGAAGCAACGGCAACAACGGCAACCACCCACAGCAATACCACCAGAGACAGCAGCAACACCAGGCGACATTGCGCGATTGCTCCGTCAAATTGCCGCTGGATATCCTGTGAGTACGGCCAACAAATCATTTTGGGCTCCCGTGTTCTGTTCCAGTGGGCTTTCGCCTTTGCACGTAGCCGATAAGGAGGCCACCAGTCAGCTCCGAAAAAGGTCAAGCCACTCAATCTCCCCGGGGAATCTGGGACGGAGATAGCCGCACGTCTGGCTGGTTTAATAAAATTTACATTTTAACAACGCGAATGAAAATTGCATTAACTTTAACGGGACAACATTTGCTCGCTTCGATTTTCCCTTCCTTTTTTTTTTTTGTTTGCTGCACAGAGAAGAAGCCCCGGAAAATGAATCAGAAAATTATAAATATTTACCCAGGCGACGACTTAAGGGAGGGGAAAAAAAGGAGCGACTACGAGATGGGGACAAATGAAGCATTTCAAATGCTTAGCGCTGGCAAAAGAAACTTATCCAGTTTTGTCAGGATTAGAGCGCCTGAGCCTGTCTTAAAGCTTTGCGTTCGGCGGGTATTTGGCTTAAAGGCTGCCAGCCAGCACAAAAAGTGTGTGACAACGGCAGTAAAGAAGGAAAGAGCAGAATTGGGCGGAAGGCGGGGTGGTACTGCGTTTATGCAGATCGCAGTCAAGTGGCGGGTTGCCTTGTTGCCAAGAAACGAGGCCAGTCGCAGCCCGGCGTTTGCACTCGGAAAAATGTATAAGATGATTACTTTTCGGATAAAACTTGTATTAAGCTGTTAGGCTTACAAATAGCCCAAGTTGTAAATTTATTTTTTTAAAAGCTCTTTTGATATTAAGCTCAAACGGTTTCAAATGGAAGTTTCATTTATTTCTTATATTGAATCGAATGTTATAATACTTTGCAAAAAAGGTGTTCAACAATTTGGTTTTCTCTTTACTATATTTATTAACAATTATTAATTATTAACTTTCTTTAGAGAGTTTCATGCAGTTGTTGTTAAGTTATGTCTGCAACATAACGAAAGTTCCCACAGTTAAGTCTTTTAATCCGATTTAAATGCTTATATATCTAATCTTTCAAATCTAAATGCCTCTGAACGTCAAGTAATGACATTTTATCGAGTCAACAGTATGCCACAGATATATTTTTTAACTGGCGTTGACTAGAGTCATTAAACCGTTTTGGACCCAAAACTTATGTTTTATGACTTCCACCGTGTCAGGTATGTGCTTGGATTTATTAAAAGGTGGTTAAAGATGATGTCTATGTCACGAAGACTTTATTCATTTTGTTAGATCAAGCAGTCATGAAGTGTTGTTCATCAGTTTGAAGTCCCAAATTAGGTTTAATGAGTAAGTTTAATAAGTTATACATATAGACCGGATTGAGTCAGTGCAGAATCTCATTAACAGTTTATCTATTTAACTGGGATGCAAACGTTCTGCAATCTTACTCCAAAAAGACCTATTAGTAACTGGATTCCACTTGGTTAAAATCCTTGTAGTAAATAAAAAAAAATTTTCCGAAGTTACTTTTTAAAAACTTTAAAAGTGATTCGATAAGATTTAGGAGGACCATATAATTGTTTATTTCCAGTGTTTTTACTGCAGCTGCGGGCTTAAAACGTTATAAGAAAGAAAAAAACAACTGCTGGGAATATTAAAAGAACTTAAAGCGTGTCGACAACTATCAGAAAAAGGGAAAGAAGGGACCTGGGACGATGTGAGATGGAAAATGGAAAATGGCAGGAAGTCGGTCGGTCTTGCTCTGAGGTGCACCGTGCGCCACAAACGGCGCCGTCGAGTGAAGTGCCTCGACTCCTTGCGGGCCTGCAGGCCAGTGTGTCGTTACTTTTAACGAGGTGTCGCATGCGAAGCTCGAGCAAGTGGACGGAGGCAAAGGAAACTTCGAGGGGGGGGGGAAAGGGAAGCCACCAGTTGCCACACATTTCCATCGCCGCGCTCTGCCCTACTCTGCCATCCTTTGCGCCATCCCCACTCCACTTCACTTCACTCTGCTCTGCTCTGCTCCAGTCCCGGTATATAAAAATGCACTTAGCCACAGACTGGCAGCAGCTCCTGCTGTCACCTGCTAATGCCACCGCCCCCTTGCACGCCCCCATT